TTAATTATTTTTATTTTTCAAAAGAAGTATAAAACCTCTTTTCCCGTATCCATGAATTGGTCCATGCCTTAGAAAAGCCATGTACACTGTGAGAAGTGACTCAAGGCTTAGTTTGGATATCCCAACAAGTATACCATAAGCATGGTCATATTTGATAAAAAAAGAAATAACTAGCTAATTATATTGGCGCTATGGGTGTTTTGTCATAATTTCTTTGACAAAGGGGCCACCAATGAATATAATGTTGAGTTTCTGAAAATATTATGCTATAACGTAATAATACTCTTTTGAATAACATTTTGAACAAACTCTAACAAAACACAAGTTTAAGGAGGGATAAACGCAAACTTAAATGCACACCCTTTTATTGCATTAGCTTGTGCCTATTTATAGGTTTTATAACCAATGTAAGAAAAATCGGGTGGTTCATATTCTAACTGCCCAGTTAGATCGGAATCAGCCATTGGCCGATTCCAGTTTCGGCCGGTTTTGGTGAACCGAAAATATATTAAAATTATATAAAATCCTAAAAAATAAATAAATTTGTTTGTAATGTTTTTTTAATGTTTTTATCATTTTGAAAAATATTGAAAATTGTTTTGGCTCTGAATACTTATTTTTACATTTTTCCAATCTTATTTGGAAATTTTCAAAAATACTCCTAAGCACAAATTGACTCTTTAAAATCCATTTTTCATTAATATTAAATTTTATTTGGATAATTTTTGTTTAATCATGCTTAAAAGTATTTTTCATATTTTATTAAATTTTTTTGTATTTTTTAATATTTTTTTTACCTCCTACAACTTGCCCGGTTAGGCCAGTTGAACAACTTTCAGCCCCATATCTGGTTAATCATGTCAGCTCAATTTTTCTTAAACTATTATAAATCATTTACAAACCACCCCTAAATAACTCTTCTTTGGAATAACCGCCCCTTTGGGATTAGCTATTCTCCCATTGCGAATGCAACTCCCCACTTATGATAACCACCTATATAAAATGTAAAGAGAGAGAATTGTGGATAACTACTACCACTATCTCATACATGGAGAGAGAGAGAGAGAGATAGAGAGATAACTACATGTGACCTACTCCTGCATTTTTGCATCGATCTTTGACACTCCCCTTGATAGGAAAATCCTTTCCAGCAAGTAATTTTCTGAAATATGAAAAAATTTCAAATGAAAATTTCTTTGTGTAGCCATCAGCCACTTGTTCTTTCGTGGACAATACTTCATCTCAATCAAGCCGTCTAACACCATTTCTCTTATGAATAATGTTTGGTGTCGATGTGCTTTGTTCGCCTATGGAATATTAAATTCTTATTCATGGTGATTGTTGCTTTGTTGCAAAAACATTTAGTCGCTTTTTTCACCCCCCATAGTGATCAACTATATATTTGTATAACTTGACATGTAGCTGATGTGGCAACTGTATATTCACCCTCTGGTGATGACCATGTTGTAGTTACTTGTTTCTTTGATGACCATGAAATCGCTAAAGATTGAAAACAAAGCTAGAAGTGTTTTTCCTGTCATCTAAAGAACCTTCCCAATCACTGTTTAACAAGAAATTTTATTCAAAATGATAAACATGAGTATATAAAAGTCTGTAACTTGATGTTCTACAAATATAATGGAATATTCCTTTAGCTGTCCCTATATGATACTCAGTGAGATTGATATGAAATAACTCCAGAGCCAAGAATGAAAACAAATCCAGAAATGCTTTTTCCATGCCCAATTACTGTTTAAATTTTCATTTAATTTAAAATTATTAACATGAGCATCCAAAGTCTATAACTTGATGTTCTACAAATATAATGCAATATCCTTTTAGCTACCCCCATATGATACTCAGTGAGATTGTGCATAAACCTTGACATATGACATACAACAAACATTATGTCAGATATTGTGTGAGTTAAGGATATTAGTCCTTCAACAAGGCTTCTACAATATTTTGCATCAACCCCTTGAGTCCCATCTTCAAGTCTCAATTTTTCATTTGTATTCATTTGTAAGGTCTATGAGAAGTACATGTGACCCATTCCTATATTTTTATATCAATCTTCAACATATACTGTTGGGTTTATATAGTCATTAAAGGCTTTATGAGAGCTTGTATAAGCATTCTATATAGTGAAACATAAACTTAATGGGAGTGTGATCCTATTGTAGTATTGTAGACCATACTAGGCAAATATTATTTGTCGATACTCAGACTAGGCTTGACGTGTTAGGCCTGTTGAGTTGGAAAAACCCAAGATACTTAGGCATAGAGTTAAAATTGATGAAGGTTCAGTGGGTTAGCAGTACTTAGAAAACAAATCATATAAAAAATTAGTACAAGAGAAATTTATTAGTACATCTCATAAACTAAAACATTTTCTTTGTTGTGTGTTACTTTGCAATGGCCTATATCACACAATGAACGGTCAAGAGGGGGTGTGCTTGTTCTCCTAAGGAATAATATGGACCATCCAATCGAAAGGTATATCTTTATCTGCAAGATCTATATGATAGGATAGGGAAGTACCCACAAGGTTGTAGAAATCAGTGTTCCACCAAAATATCCAGAAGTGCAGAGCAGAAAAAGACTATAGAAGTAAAAATACACATACAGTTGATACAGTACTAGAAAAGAATGGTTGTGGTACTGGTGAAGCTTGCATGCCATAGCAAAACCAAACTAAAAGTGTGCATGAAACCGATCATACACAGCAAATGTCAATGCACAATCTAATAAACATGAGTTCGCCAGTCATATAAGGAACACATCCAATCCCCTAAAAGGTCTAATGTAACAACAAACATCATCAACAAAAAGATTAAATGAAAAAAAACTAACATAGAGGTTTTGGTGGACCCCTTTACAATCTGTAAAACAGAGGTTCAGAAGCATGGATTAGTCCAGTTTATAATTTGTAGAACTGTATCCATTCTAGGAATTTGAAACACTAAGCTGAAAAGCCACACTTTGCTTTGTTTTCAATGTGCTCTTTTCGCTAGAGGGCACACCAAGGGGAGGCTAAACTATATACCCTCTGAGAGCAAAATTTTGGGTACCTAGATTGGGCATACCCCATTTGTACTATCTATAGATGGCATGGATGACTTGTGTTTTGCTGTAAACAGGAACCTTGACTTAGGACAGTGGCTCATCTCCACCGTCCATTGATAGGTACTAACAGTGGATGGCCAGTCTGAGTATTGAACCCCAACTCGTGGAGAGTATAAGATTTTCCCAAAACATTGACACTACAATGACTGAAAGATTGTGGGTGAGTTTAGGCAAGTAAGATCACTGTAAATGTATCCAATCTGGGCAATGGTCAAGAAACACGTTGCTAAACAATGGCCCCTCTTAGACGAATTGAACTCCTGAGAAAGTTCCCACCATGGCGCAAGTTCTTCTAAGCTTCAAAGCCACCTTAATAACTCACCCTCAAAACAAGAAAGGAAGTTCTATGAGCTGACAATGAGATGCTCCTCAAACAAATTCGATGACCTAATGGACATTCCACTCTCCTAGTTTTGTTAATGAAAGGGGAGAAATTTCTGACAATTTTCCCAACTGTAAGAATGATTAATTACTCTATGGTTACTACATAGAGGGACTTCTAAAGAGAAGACCAAGAGGAAATCAAAATATATTGGAAGTGGTGCATAACTACTTGAGATTGACAACAATGCGCAAACAAATTACAGATTGACAGTAATGCAACATTCTCAGACTTGATACGAATCGATCCAATCACCTGATTCTCTGAGATATGGATGCATTTGCCATCATAGGTATGCACACATCTCACCATCTAAGACAAAAAAGGAAAGTTCTTGTACATTTCAAAGGAGCAAGTTCTAGTTGATTACAATGCAAAAGTGAAATTCTTAGGGGCCAACTCAAATGAAAAAGCAGAAACTTTTTTTTAAAAAAATGAAAGTAACAGGGGGAATTGAGGGAAAAGACAAGGGATAAAGAATCTTACAGTTAGAATATTTAGATTGGGGGAATTGAGGTAAAAAATACGGATCAGGAAAAATACTTCATATAAAGATATCCCTAATATATCGAATTAAGCTCAAAAAATCAGAGTAAAAAAATCGGATAAATTTTTAATATTAAAAATTTTGAAATTCTAAGAAATAAAAATTATGTCATTGCCATCAATAATTAATTCATCCATAAAAACTTTACCAGACTAATATAATTAGGGTGCGGTTTGTATAGAGCCTGGGCTCTAAACAATCAAATTAGAGCCTACCTTCAAGTAGTGTCGAGAAATGCGGTTTCAATACTGAAAATCTTTGTGATAGACTTAAAATATATTTTCATCTTTATTTATAAAGTTTAAAGCTTCAAAAATAGTTTAGATTGATAAATCAATGAAAATTTGAAAATCTTGAAAATTGACGGTCCAAAAATGCATTACAAAATGCACTATTTCAAAACTTGAAATCCATTTTCTTTTCATGTTTATGCATCTTGATGTCGAGATGATCAATTTGATGATTTTTGGGCATCAAAACAATTTTTTCTAATAAAATTTTTGAAGTAGGTTAAAATTTGATTGTTTAGAGCCTTGGCTCTATATAAACTTTTCCCATATAATTAAGTCAATTAATTTAGATGCTTCGTAACTTTTATCCAATCATCCAATATTAATGTATAATTAACTTGTATATACCCAAAAAAAAAAATGTACCATATAAATCAACCCATTTCATGCTTTAAGAAACATCACGTCTACTTATTACATACCAAAAACAAATATACTATAAATTTATTCATTAAATATTTTAACTATGGTATGGTGACAAATATACTCTATAAATTTATTGATTGAACACTTAAACATCACACCAGGTACCTAAAAAAATATACGATTTTTGTTTTTTTCATGACAATGATTTAACTATGGTATGGTGACTATGGTCACTCATAACTATGGTTAAAGTTCTTTAATTGAAACGAAGCTCGTAGAAAATTGGTGTTTTTAATATTTGTTGTTTACGATTCAAAGAAGGAAGAAGGAAGAAGGAAGAGAAGAAAATAGGGTTGGGCTCATAGCGATTAGGGTTTACATAGAGAAGAAGAAGAGGAAGAAGGAAGGCCATAACTTTTTTTTAGAGAGAGGAAAGGAAGATGGGATGATGATTTGGGATAGTTTGAAGGCGGTTTTTCTCTCTAATTTGAGATGTTGTTTGAGGGAAAGCCATAACTATACTGATTTGTGAAGAGGCCCTAACTATACTGATTTGTGAAGAGGCCCTAACTAATTTTTGGAGAGAGAAATGCAAGAGGATTTTTCATTGTTTTTGGTGAAGCAGCAAGCAGAGCTAAAGGATTATACAATTGCTTGCTCCAGTAAGATTACAGTTTACACTATATTGTTTATCTTTGTTATCACATAATAAAAAACAAAATATTGATTACTTGATCATGTAATCACACTCTCTGTTTCTCATTCATCAGTAAAAGACTACGTTTTGATCTCTAATTTGTACCATAAACAGTATTTTTATAAAAACAATTATCACAAAAATCCGCATATATATGATTTTATTTACACAATGATACTTTACAAAATGATTTGCTATAAACAATATTTTATTTACACAATGATTTTTCATAATAACAATTGAAATCTGCATCTATTTGTTTTAAGTTTTTAAAAAAAGGGAAAATTTTTTTCATACCTCTCAATTTGTAACTGTGGCTTTGAAGAACAACTGAGATAAAAATTTCTATTTTAGGTTGTTTTTTATTGAAATAATATTTTTTTTCAAAAACATGAAAGTAGCAAGGCTGCAATACACAAAACATGAAGAAGAAAAAAAAAAATCTTTCAAAAAATTTATAGGTAAAAAAAGATACGATTTTTTGGCGTGATTTAAATTGTATTATAAAAAAGCGCTTTTTAAACGATTTTATGAAAACTACGCGATGTTTTGCCGGCCTTGTAAAAAAGTCGCCATTTAAAACTGTTTCCATAAAAACGCAGATTTTATGAAAAAACTCCGATTTTATGAAAAAATCCGATTTTATGAAAGAATCGCCGATTAAACGGCGATTTGCTATCTATGAACCCAACCCTATTGGGGTTCAGAGCCGTGAAAAACATGGAGATATTTAGAGAGAGAAACACTGGGGAAGACTATGAGAGAGATTTTTTGTTGTTGGGAAGCAGAGCAGGGATGACGTCAGGAGGACGTGTGGGAGGTCCTCTACTTTCCATAGGGGACTTGCTGAGTGATCTCTCTCAACACCATCAGGACGCCACCGCTCATCCTGATCTCTCCTCTAAACAACAACCACAAGTAGTAGACCATCATCATCATCGCCCCCTTCACCTTCAATCCCTATTTGAGGTTTGTTTTTCTTTATAATTAATTCCATGTATGTATACCTGTGATTTAGACAGTTTATCTAACCTCGAAGCGTTCGGTTTGGTTTTTCTTTTAGCTTAATGGGCGTATGATCTTTAGGTAATTTAAAGTCGAAAATTCGAAATAGTGTCAATCAAATCCTCTAGGTTATTGCATTTCTCTGATGTTTCAGTAGCTGGTATTTGAAAGGTTCTGTATGCCTTAAAGTGGCTATCCCATTTCTTGTCCAAGATGTTTGCTCACCTTGTTTCTTGAGAATTCTGAGGCTTTCAAATGTGTTGGGTTCTTTGTAATTGTTGTCAAATGTGTTTCATTTGTGTAAGGAGGTTCTCAGATGAATCATTTTGGTTGAAAATGGTCCTTCTTTTGTTGTCCATAATCGACAACGTTGGCCAGGACTTGAATTACATGACAGATTTTTGAATTACATTCGTGAAAATCATGGCTAAAGTTGTCTCCTGATGCCATTAAGTTCTTCTCTAGTATGAATATCTAAGACCCGAAATACTGAAGTATTTACCACAAATTTTACAAATATTAATGATTTACATCCCTTAGCTTGTCGTAAATCAAATTCTGGATTGAAGATATTCATAGATGGAGCCTCAAATAAACAAGATTAACCAATATCATCATCATGATCGTCATAGCATTTTCCCAACTATTTGGGTCGGCTACGCGAATCCTGGTTCGCCATTCTGCAATATCAAGGGCCACACCTTCAATGAAGCCATAAATCCCCATACATTTTTTCACTACTTCCAACTAATATCATCATCAGAACCTTTTTCCAATTATTTGGGGTTGGCTACTTCCAACCAGTGTATTTAATTAATGTTATCATATAATGCATGAATTAGGTCATTGCAATATAAAGTTATGTTCATGGCTGAAATGTCACATTCCATGATAATAATTTGTCCTGTAATGGACTTTTGACTTGTGATCTTTTGCTGTTTATTTTCAATTTCAAAATCATAAAACGTAGTGAGCAAACTAAAGCTCCATTTGCTCCCTTTCATTTCTCTTTTGGTTAACACTGTTGTCTGTGTTGTTCAGCTCATGTTATGTTTCTCTAGGATTTTGTAGTAAGTACATTATTTTTATGTTTATGCTTTACGATTTAATCTTGACAGTTACAAATTTAGGATGTGTCTTTATTGTTATGATTGAGAAAGTACAATCCATGAATCAGATAAGATCCAAAGTTGAAATGCTTGAACACATATGAGAACCAAAAAGTTAATTATACCGTAAGATTTGATGAGATGATGCATCAGTCTTCATTATAATTCCTCAACAATCAGGTCCTGGCTCCTTATGTGTTTTATGACGACTAATTTTTTTTGGCTTCTTTAGACAATGGGGAACTTAGAGATTCAATATTTCATCATCAATACGGAATTACAACCCACTGTAACACAGAGCATAAAGTACCTTAACATGGGACATTTCCAAGAACTGTGCTATGTTGAGTTTAATATCTGTGACAATTCTTGAATCAACATTGTGAGTTAATATGTAAAACTCTTGAGCCTATGTAAAACTGTGCTATGTTGAGTTTACAGCCCCCCTCCCTGGAAATTATTGTCCACATAGACCCTTGGGCCTATGTAAAACTCCATGGACCAAACCCCTCCGTCTACTACCAGAAAAAGAAAAAGACAAAAAAAAAAAAGGGAATGAAAATGATAGATAACCTCCTCGCCACCTTTCCTAACCTATTATTTACTAAAATGTTATTTAGCTTTAGAGAAATGCCAAATAAGTGCCAATTCTCCATCCTCTCTCAGGACCTCCCTCCTCCCTCTCTTTTCACAAACCAGATTCTCCCACTGGAAAAGTTTTCAGAAAATAAGTCTCAGGCTAACTTCCTGGCATTTAGAAAAGAATTTTTCATGCAACTTTTCTTTCGTTTCCCAACGATTCTTACAAGATATCTTACCTTCTTCAGTATGAAATTATGCAAATTCTTGAAAGTCCTGTGTCTCTTCAAATCCTTTACTTACTTCTCAGCCCTCTCCTCCACATTCACATTCCTAGGGACTGGTGCATAAGAATAAACAGCCCCAAGAGACCCTTCTTCCAATCATTCTCTTTGGAGAGAATTACTCCTCCTAAGATCTCTTCTCCCCAATATACTATTGAGCGCAGGGCGTAATGGTGCTAATACATATGCATCAAAGGCACTTGGAATGGAGAAATTTTGTGAAGGTAGGAGCCAGGGATTGTTTAGGAGGGAGGGAGGGAGATGTTAGGGTCATTGACAAAATCCCCAAATCATTGACGATTTTTGGGGCGGGGTGGGAGGGGGTCGAGTGGGGCGACATAAGGGTGCAGCCAGAAAGAGTTGGGGTTGCTCATAGTAATCTTATAAAAGATATGCAAATGGTGCACTTCAACATTGATTGATCTACGACAATACACCCTGGGGAATAACAAAGCATAAGTAACACAACTTTTCCTTTTCTATCCAAGTAAAATGGAAAGGCAAATTTTCCCATGATGTTTGGGTAAAGGAATGGGGGCTCTATCTCCCTTAGATAAGGCTGAACTGATTAAACTTAGCTGCTTATCTGTTTTGAGTTTTCTTAAAGAAAGTGGAAAACCCTGAGTTGGTTTTTGGTTCTCCAATTGGAACTTAAAAACATAGTTTTCAACCTCTGAGAAAAGAATATTAATGGATGTGATCTAGTATTGTCACTCGATCTCATCTACGTAAAGACTTGATACAACCCGCTTGATTTTCTATATCGAGATGTTGATCCAGTTTGAAGAATTTGTACTATGGGGTGTAGCATTAGCTGATTTGCCTTCAGATTGTGTTGACCCAACTGGTCTGGCAAGACCTGAGTGGTCCTAGTTGCAAAAGGAAAGAGTTTTATGAAGGCTAGTGACATCATCTCACAGTCAAGTCCATTTGAACATAGTTACACTGGATAAAAGTTGTGAAATTTCAAAATAATCTAGCAAGAAAGCCCTCGTTTTTTTATTCACATATTTTGACTCTTGCACTTGTCCATGTAGACTCCCATGGTGACAAAAGCCACCCATCCCCTCACGTGTTCCCCCCCTCCCCAA